TCCTTATCCCCTCAAATCCAACACAGAAAGAATAAATTTGAGCCACTGTATTGTAGCTTCACAGTGGCATAAGCTCCTGTATTTTCATCGGTTGTCAATATAAACATCGGATGGCATAAAATTAAATGGCTTTTTAGACATAATGTGTCATGTAAATGTAACTGCTAAACTGAGGGGTAACCCAAAGTTTAGGATTTTCTAAAAAGCGGGCCTCTTGTTCTTTAGGAAGGAGCGCACCCCACCTGGCCAATTTCAGCCAAGTTTGACTTTACAAGTTGCACAGGAGCCGAAGTAAGCCTTCACTTTGTATCTAAGCAGAACTAGGGGCCGGGAAGGGAAGGTTGCTCAGCTCATGTGGCGGTGAACAGAACCACTGCAAATACCACACGGCTTTCTCCCAGCTGCTATGATGTACTGCAGCCTTATTGTCCTGACCAAGAATGAGACCGGCTTACAAGTGTTACACAGCCACAGACACATGGGCCCTATCTAGACCTCTGAATCAGGCTCCTTAACACTGAAGCCTAAGCGTCTCTACCAGGAAAAGTCTTCTCTAAGACTCAAGTACACAGCAAGTGCTGAGACAAGATCCTTCAAGCTGGTATGTGTGTGAGTATGTGTGGGTACACACATGCTTGTACAAGTCTTCAGATGTCTAGGGCATATCTGCAGTGTTGCTCTGTGTCATTTCCATTTTCCTTCCTGTACCCTCTACCCTCCACCCCCAATTTTTTTTTTTTGCCTCTCCCCACTGTGTCTTTGCCCACATCTTGTGCTTCCGGCTCCACTCTATGTAGCATTTGACCCCCTGGCCTTTACCAGCCTCCCTGTTTCAATGTACCTGAAATGAGATGGCAACAGCTTTGGGGAAACAGAATTCATTCATTCATGCATTCACTCATACATCAGAGACTATTTGAGGTTCTGGATATACAGTAATACGACATGGACAAGATGTTTATTTTCATGGAGCTTACATATTAGTGGAGAAGACAGTCAATAAACAAAAGAAGATACAAGAAAATAGCAGTAATGATGAGTGTTGTGGTGAAACTGAATCAAGATGATTGCGACAGGGATAAACAGGAGGCGAGTGAGTTTGAGTGGTCAAGGAAGGGTTATCTGAAGAGGTTACCATTTAAGTTCAGCCCTAAACAATACCTGGGTGAAAAGGGTTCCAGCAAAGGGAACAGCTGGTGCAAGGACCCTAAGGCAGGCTAAAACGTGGCAGGTTGAAGAGAGAAAGATAGTATGTCTGGATGATAGTGAGTGAAGGGATAGAGAGTGGTACCAGATTGAGTCCAGATCATGTAAGACCTTGTAAGGCACAGTATTTGGTGGGGGAAGACAATAATTCTAGACACTGGAGTAATAGAATCTAACTTACATTTTAAACAAATATTTTGGCTGCTGCTGTGTGGTGAATGGACGGAGATGGTGAAAATGGGTTGGAAGATTAGAAGCGGGGAGGTTGAGTTAAGAGGATACCACGCTTAACCAGGTAAAGAATGATGATGCCTGCATTAGGGCAGTAGAGATAAGAACAGTGAATGGATTTAGAAGATATTTTAGAAGAAAAGCAGAATTTGTTGATGGGTGAGCTGTGGGAAATGAAAGAGGGGATCAAGATTGTTCACAGGTTTTTGCCTTGAGTGCACTGCTGATGGCACCATTAGTTGATGTAAGGAGCCCTGGAAGAGGAGGAGATTGTGGACAGGAAGGGAAGTGTTTGACTTAGACATGTTTGTTTGAGACATTTATTAATGAGCTCTCTGAAGCCCCCATCTCATACTTTATATGTATCACTATACCAAGAACTATGAGATCCAAGACTTTGCCTTCCTTTTCAATTCCCTGTTAAGCAGGAATGAAGTGAAAGATAACTGAATAAAATACTCAGATTTTTGCAAAACACTCTTACGTTCAGAGGTTCGGTAGCAGAGCCCTATCTTCCCAGGCAGGCATAAGTAGCCAATCAGTCACCCATCAAGCCAATCAGTCACTGTGTCATACCAAGCAACGGTCCAAGGGGCAAACTAATTAAAAATTTAATCCCATGATTTTCATCTTAATCTCTTTTTCCCATTGGGCAAACTAATTAAAAATTTAATCCAATGGTTTTCATCTTAATCTCTTTTTCTAATTTAAAAGTTTGGTTAAATTGTAGTTGTGATCAATGCCCTCAACTATAATTTAACCAAACTTTTCATTTAGATAAATGGCTGAATAGGGTACCTATTTAGTCCATTTGTTATGAACCAATGGAGCACTGAAATATACACACTAATTACTAAAGACCACAGGCTAATTTTCAAAGCGTTTTATTAGCACAAAAGCTATGTTCCTATTATCAAATGAAATGTGCTTCCTATGTTACACTCACCAGTTGTCTAAACCAGTTTCTCTTGACTTCAGTAGCCAAATTGCAATGTGCTGTGTAGGTACACAGTGCACTTGAGAAATGTCTGTACATCCCAACCCTGCACTATATCACAAGCAATTGTAAAAAGTGTCCCAAAGAAGAAAATTCCACGAACTTCTCAGCTACCTGAGACTTCTGCTGCACCCTGAAAAAAAAAAAAAAAGGCTAGAAACCACATTAAACAACTAAACCAAACTGAATGCAGGGGCTGCTATGAGGAAGGATGAACTTTGCAGCCTGTTCCAAATGCTAAGGTTAAGGAGGTTATGGCTCTGCTCACTAGGTGTGTGAGTCAGGAGATATTCATTTTGTGACCATCCTTTCCTGTCATCTGTGGAGAAATTTTCACTGCTTTCAAGTCTTCCAGCAACTATATGAATGCCAACATTCTTTAGTTCCTTCAAGTAAAACAGATCCTCAATTTAAAAATAAAAGTCAGCTGGATGCAGTGGCTCATGCCTGTAATCCCAGCACTTTGGGAGGCTGAGGCGGGCAGATCACAAGGTCAAGAGATTGAGCCCATCCTGGCCAATATGGTGAAAAACCCGTCTCTACTGAAAATACAAAAATTAGCTGGGCATGGTGGTGCACACCTGTAGTCCTAGTTACTTGGAAGGCTGAGGCAGGAGAATCACTTGAACCTGGGAGGCGTAGGTTGCAGGGAGCCGAGATCAAGCCACTGCACTCCAGCCTGGTGAGAGAGTGGGACTCCCAACTCAAATAAATAAAAATAAATAAATAAATAAATAAATATCAATGGCTCGTGTCCCCTGTAGCTTTTCAACCCCTGTAACAGTACTTTCTCAATTAGATATTCACTGCTATTTCAATAAAGGGGTGAGAAGGGTGAAGAATCGGGCCTGTGATCAATGAAAAGTATTCAGTAAAGACTCTTCATGTCAGACATGGCCTCAGAAACAGGAGGAAAGTTTAACAGACAGCAGGAGTGGGTGGTGGCTGGGCCCAGTGGAACGGGTAAACCTGAAAGGGGACGAAAATGGTTTTCAGGCTGCTGTGGCCCTCTCTACACACACAGTTTGTGGCCATGAAGTCCGGGCTGCTAAGCATCATTGTCTGCACAGCTGCTGCACCTGCCACTTCCCTCAGCCCATTAAAAACCGGGTTCCAGGAGGCGGAGGTTGCGGTGAGCCGAGATCGCGCCATTGCACTCCAGCCTGGGTAACAAGAGCGAAGCTCCGTCTCAAAAGAAAACAAACAAACAAACAAAAAAAAAAAAACACCGGGTTCCTGGGAGGGTTTTCATCCCCAACTTACTGGCCAAGCCTTCGAGCCACCTCCCCGTTCCAGCCCTCCCTCTCATTGGTCACCATCAAAGCCCCCTACAAGCGGGACGGCCCCTCCCCCCGCCCTCCTCACCGACTAGCCGCGGCCAGCAGCCTTGGAGCGGCTCCGTCAGCTGCCCCGGAGCGGAGAAAAGGAAGAGGAAGGGCGAGAAGGAAGCAGAGACTGTCTCATATTCTTGGCTTCCAAGGGTCGCTAGGGCAACCAGAGGGGAAATGACGTAGGCTTCCATCCCGGAAGCGGAACTTGGGTGTGGGTCAAGGAGGCTGCCATGCTGTGAGTGGCGGATGAGAATTTCAGCGCTCAGGCTCTGAGTCCCAGCAAAGAGGCCTGGCAGAGAGGATAGCCTGACCATATCCCCCGCTTCTCCCTGCTACCCTCCTCCGCTCCTCCCTTCCCCTCTCCCTTTACTTTCTCTCGTTTACTAAATTAGTATTTATTGGGACCTTGCTGTGTTCTGTGCTCCAGAGCCCAGTGAATATGATGGACAAATATTTAAATGCCCTAGCTGGAAACATTGAAGGATGAACTGTCAAGACGCATTTGAACCACAACGACTCCATCTTGAATAGGGGCTGGGTAAAAGAAGGCTGAGGCTGCATTCCCAGGAAGTCAGGCATTCTAAGTCACAGGATGAGACAGGAGGTCAGCACAAGATACAGGTCACAAAGACCCTGCTGATAGAACCTCCCCATTGCAGCCCTCCCTCCTTAAGTACCCTTCCAGATACTTAAGCCAGTCGAAATCCACTGGCTGAGATAGGCAATGAAAGTGAACTCTAGTCGTCCCCACTGATCATCATATGCTAATTATAATACATTAGCTTGCAGAAAGACTCTCCCACCAGCACCATGAGAGTTTACAAATGCCATGGCGATGTTGGGAAGTCACCCTATGTGATCTAAAGGCAGGGGTGGAACCCTCAGTTCTGGGAATTGCCACCCCTTTTCCCAGAATGCTCTTGACTAATCCACCCCTTGCTTAGCATATAATCAATAAATAACTGTAAGTATACTCAGTTGAGCACCCTTGCTGCTGTTCTGCCTATGGTGTAGCCATTCGTTTATTCCTTTACTTTCTTAATAAACTTGCTTTTACGTTACTCTTTGGACTTGCCCCAAATTCTTTCTTGCTCGAGGTCCGAGAATCCTCTCTTGAGGTCCAGATGGGGACCCCTTTCCAGTAATATAACCCCTTAACAATAGTTGAGGGCTTTAAACACCAGGCTGGGAAGCAGAGGGCACATGGGCCTGGTTTTCTTGACTTTGGTTACTTGGACTCAGGCCACAGCTGAAGAATAGGGGAGGGTGGGAGGGAGAGAGAGATCACCGGGAAATAGATGGTGGTGGTGGTGGATTGGGTGTGTGGAATTTGCAGGGTTGGGGTGACTGCCAGGCTTCTGGGCTGATAGATGGATGAATGTTGGGGTACCACATACTAAAAGGAAACCATAGGGGAAGAAGCTGATGTGTGGGAAGTTTGGTTTTAGACATATTACACTTTGGAGGTCTTCTAGTGGAGAAACTCAACAGGCCAATGGATGTGCCTGTTTTGATTTTTTGGAAGAGAGGCCTGAGCTAGAAGTCTGAGCCTTAGACGCTTGCCTGTGAATGGGGCTAGGGCAGGAGCTTGGAATAGATTGCCTGGTGGAGAGAATACCCCTTGGGAAAGAGGCCCAGGACAGAGTGTCAGGAGCTCTGCTACTAAAGAAAAGGAAGAAGAGCAGGCAGCCCTAGGAGAGAAACCAGGGAAATATGGCATTGCAGGGAGCAAGGGAAAAGCACTTCAGGAAGAGTAGTTAATTAGGTCAGTTTTGCTGAGAAATTAGTGAGATGACAGCAGGCTTTGCTGTTACCTGGAGCAGATTCCTTGGAATGGCTGGGGAAGGTCAGTTTGTGGTAAGTTGAGGAATAAGTGAGGGTGATGGTGAGAAAATGGAGACAAATGAACATAGACAAATCTTCCCAGAAGTTGTCTGCAAAGAAATGAGAGTGATACTGAAAGGAAAATGATAATTTTTAATTATTGTTTTTTAAGATTGGAGAAACATAAGCTTTTTTTGGGGAGGCGGTTGTTTCCTTTTTGTTTTCTTTTTGAGACAGAGTCTCACTCTGTTGCCCAGGCTGAAGTGCACTGACATAATCTTGGCTCATTGCAACATCTGCCTCTGGGGTTCAAATGATTCTCCCATTTCAGCCTCCTGAGTAGCTGGGATTGCAGGGACACACCACCACACTTGACTAATTTTTGTATTTTTAGTAGAGACGGGACTTTCATCAGGTTGGCTAGGCTGGTCTCCAACTCCTGACATCAGGTGCTTCCACCTCAGCCTCCCAAAGTGCTGGGATTACAGGTGTGAGCCACCACACCCAGCCAAAGCTTGTTTAAATATTGATGGAAAGGAGCCAGGGATTTTTTATGTTGATTAACCCATGGACAAGCTGAATAGTGGCCTTGACCGTTTCCTGGCAAGTGATAGTAAAGACACTTGCGGAAAGAGTGCCTCTTTCTAATTCACACAGCATGGCCATAGCAGCTGTGGATGGAAGTTTGGTGCTGGAGGGTGAAGTATGTCCTGTCTTGCCTGGGAATGGGAGGTGAGATCATTGAAGGAGGGGGATAAAACACCGGAGAGGTCTGAGATCAGTGGAGGAGGGGTTGTGGGGATGGCAGAACAAGCAGAGTTTAGCCATGCAGGTCCCTAAATAGTGACTCTGCAGTAACCTCAAAATGTCTGAAATAGGATAATAGCCTCCTTTTTTTTTTTTTTTTTGACAGTCTTGCTCTGTTGCCCAGGCTGGAGTGCAGTGGCATGACCTTAGCTCATTCCTCTGCCTCCTGGGTTCAAGAGATTCTCCTACCTCAGACTCCCAAGTAGCTGGGATTACAGGTGTGTGGCACCACGCGTGGCTAAGTTTTGTATTTTTTGTAGAGACAGGGTTCTCCATGTTGGACAGGCTAGTCTTGAACTCCTGACCTCAAGTGATCCACCTGCCTCAGCCTCCCAAAGTGCTGGGATTACAGGTGTGAGCCGCTGCGCCCGGCCCAGCCTCCTTTACGGTAGGAGTCAGGAGACAGTAGGTGACCAGAGACCACAGCCAGTGCCACCTATTTGTTTTGGTACCCATACTCAACTCTCAGTTTTCCATGTCCTGTTGTTACCCTACTTGTCCCACTTTAAAATGTCTTCTTGTCATTGGGAATCTGGTAAGTTCTATCATAATATGGCATTTTCATTACTTATAATTTTACAGATCTTTCAGTGAATTCTAGTGTTGACCAGTACACAGCTGAACTTACTCAAGACAAGGAGGCTTAGTGTTTCCTTGACCCACCTAAGACCTGCAGAGTGAGGCCTAAAGTCTGCATTTTTTTGACTGTACAAAATGTTGCTGTTATTATTTTATAAAAAGTGACTTTTCGTAAAATTTGCATTGAAATGCTTAGGTAAAAACTGTATCATGAGTAAAAATTAAAGTTATTATTACCGTTCACCATAAAAAAAAAAGTGACTTTTCTATGAACCAACTACTTATGACAATCTCAATAACAAAAACAAAGTTCCATTATTTTTAAAGAGGCAGTTTCAGGGAGATTTTCCTTGGTCTGGGCATACACGGGGGTTCCCAGACGGCTATATACAGGCCCAACACCACTCTGCCTTCCCCAGAGGTACCACTGCAGAAGCTGTACTTTAATAAGCATTCCCCGGGTATTTTGGTTGCACTATAAAATTTGGGAATGATTGGTGTAGACTGGCAGTGGTATGTAATGGATTGAGACAGATGCATCCCCAGAGGTAAAGTCCTCACTAGCTCATATCACTGAGGAATGATACTCCTGAAGTCTGTATGGGTGATCAATGAAATCATCAATGTTCACATTATCTCATTTTCTTGAGGCATTTCTAGAAAACTGAGCTAGCTTTTTGCCCCTCTAGTTTTAGAGTCTTGGCAGGCAGATTGAGATGATTTAAACCTTGCTGAGATCTTGTCTCTTACTGCAAACTTGTTTTTCATTTTGAAGAGCAGTGGGATGTTAACCCTATTTCATAGGGAATTGTCTTTTGTGAAAGTGGAACCAGGGGCCAGCTTTAAAAATGCATCAGGACTTTTGCTTCCAGGAAAATGGAGTAAATGTACTTTCTCTTCTTCCTCCCACAACTAAACCCCCTGGACATTATGTATAAAACAAATATAAGAAGATTTTGAAAGGTGGAATGACTAGGAACCTTGTGACCTAAGAAGCATCATACTGGCAAATTTTCTTTTTGCGAACCTAGAACTGAGGAAGCCAGTGACATGGAAATGCTAAGGGCATAAGACAAAAAGTAAAAAAAAAAAGTCCCAACAGAAGCCTCCTTTCTCAAGATAAAGGACTAGGAATGGGGCAACTTGGGGAGACAGAAGCCTTTTGGGCAATAACTGCTCTACTCCAGCCAAAGACCACCAACAAAATAAACAAAAAAAGTGCTCCCCCATATCTGCTGATGTGTATCTAAATGTTTGTAGATAAAATATTTAAGACAATTATAAGTGGAGGAAGGTAAAGGGATATAGAGGATGGTAAACATTTCTCCACCACATTTAAATTGGTAAAATGATGACCCCAGTAGAATGTGACATTACGTATATATTAAATGAAATACCTAGAGCAACCACTAAAATGAGTAGACAGAGATACACTCAAAAACACTGCAGGTAAATAAAAATGAGATTAAGTTAACTCACAGGAAGGCAAGAAAAAGGAAATAAATGACAATAGAAAAAAATACAAAATGATAGACTTAAACCTTAACCTTTGAATAATTACATTAAATGTAAATGGTCTAAGTACATTAAGCAAAATACATAGACTGGCAGAGCAGATGAAAAAGATGACGTAGCTACATGCCACCTGTAAGAAATTCTCACTTCAAATTTAGCAATATAGGCAAATTGAAAGTGAAAGGATGGAAAAAGATATATCATGTGAACAATCAAAATAAAGCAGGAGTAGGTATATTAACATCAGATAAAGTAAATTTCAGGGCAAAGAAAATGACCAGAGATAGAGAGGGATGTGATAAGAAGATAAAAGGGTCAATTCATCAAGAAGTAACAACCCTAAATGTGTACACACCAAATAACAGCTGCAAAATATGTGAAGCAAAAAATGGATAAATTGAAAGCAGAACTGGACAAATCCACATCCCTGTCTCCATAACTAATGGGACAACGAGACAGAAAATCAGCAAGGATATAGAAAAATTCAGCAATAGTATCAATCAAAGTGATTGAATCAACATTTATAGAATGCTCCACCTGACTACA